AGTAGCAGCAGTAATAGTGGCAACTGTTGTTGTTATTATTGTTCGTGGTAGTGGTGATGGTAGTAGTAGCAGCAGTAATAGTGGCAACTGTTGTTGTTATTATTGTTCGTGGTAGTGGTGATGGTAGTAGTAGCAGCAGTAATAGTGGCAACTGTTGTAGTTATTATTGTTCGTGGTAGTGGTGATGGTAGTAGTAGCAGCAGTAATAGTGGCAACTGTTGTTGTTATTATTGTTCGTGGTAGTGGTGATGGTAGTAGTAGCAGCAGTAATAGTGGCAACTGTTGTTGTTATTATTGTTCGTGGTAGTGGTGATGGTAGTAGTAGCAGCAGTAATAGTGGCAACTGTTGTTGTTATTATTGTTCGTGGTAGTGGTGATGGTAGTAGTAGCAGCAGTAATAGTGGCAACTGTTGTTGTTATTGTTGTTCGTGGTAGTGGTGATGGTAGTAGTAGCAGCAGTAATAGTGGCAACTGTTGTTGTTATTGTTGTTCGTGGTAGTGGTGATGGTAGTAGTAGCAGCAGTAATAGTGGCAACTGTTGTTGTTATTGTTGTTCGTGGTAGTGGTGATGGTAGTAGTAGCAGCAGTAATAGTGGCAACTGTTGTTGTTATTGTTGTTCGTGGTAGTGGTGATGGTAGTAGTAGCAGCAGTAATAGTGGCAACTGTTGTTGTTATTGTTGTTCGTGGTAGTGGTGATGGTAGTAGTAGCAGCAGTAATAGTGGCAACTTTTGTAGTTATTATTATTCGTGGTAGTATTGATGGTAGTAGTAGCAGCAGTAATAGTGGCAACTGTTGTTGTTATTATTGTTCGTGGTAGTGGTGATGGTAGTAGTAGCAGCAGTAATAGTGGCATCTGTTGTAGTTATTATTGTTCGTGGTAGTGGTGATGGTAGTAGTAGCAGCAGTAATAGTGGCAACTGTTGTAGTTATTATTGTTCGTGGTAGTGGTGATGGTAGTAGTAGCAGCAGTAATAGTGGCAACTGTTGTAGTTATTATTGTTCGTGGTAGTGGTGATGGTAGTAGTAGCAGCAGTAATAGTGGCAACTGTTGTTGTTATTATTGTTCGTGTTAGTGGTGATGGTAGTAGTAGCAGCAGTAATAGTGGCATCTGTTGTAGTTATTATTGTTCGTGGTAGTGGTGATGGTAGTAGTAGCAGCAGTAATAGTGGCAACTGTTGTTGTTATTATTGTTCGTGGTAGTGGTGATGGTAGTAGTAGCAGCAGTAATAGTGGCAACTGTTGTTGTTATTATTGTTCGTGGTAGTGGTGTGATGGTAGTAGTAGCAGCAGTAATAGTGGCAACTGTTGTAGTTATTATTGTTCGTGGTAGTGGTGATGGTAGTAGTAGTAGCAGCAGTAATAGTGGCAACTGTTGTTGTTATTATTGTTCGTGGTAGTGGTGATGGTAGTAGTAGCAGCAGTAATAGTGGCAACTGTTGTTGTTATTATTGTTCGTGGTAGTGGTGATGGTAGTAGTAGCAGCAGTAATAGTGGCAACTGTTTGTTGTTATTATTGTTCGTGGTAGTGGTGATGGTAGTAGTAGCAGCAGTAATAGTGGCAACTGTTGTTGTTATTGTTGTTCGTGGTAGTGGTGATGGTAGTAGTAGCAGCAGTAATAGTGGCAACTGTTGTTGTTATTGTTGTTCGTGGTAGTGGTGATGGTAGTAGTAGCAGCAGTAATAGTGGCAACTGTTGTTGTTATTGTTGTTCGTGGTAGTGGTAGTGGTAGTAGTAGTAGTAGTAGCAGCAGTAATAGTGGCAACTGTTGTTAGTAGTTAATTATTGTTGTTCGTGGTAGTGGTGATGGTAGTAGTAGCAGCAGTAATAGTGGCAACTGTTGTTGTTATTGTTGTTCGTGGTAGTGGTGATGGTAGTAGTAGCAGCAGTAATAGTGGCAACTGTTGTTGTTATTATTGTTCGTGGTAGTGGTGATGGTAGTAGTAGCAGCAGTAATAGTGGCAACTGTGTTGTATTATTGTGGTGTAGTGGTGAGTAGTAGTAGCAGCAGTAATAGTGGCAACTGTTGTTGTTAGTATTGTTCGTGGTAGTGGTGATGGTAGTAGTAGCAGCAGTAATAGTGGCAACTGTTGTTGTTATTATTGTTCGTGGTAGTGGTGATGTAGTAGTAGTAGCAGCAGTAATAGTGGCAACTGTTGTTTGTTATTATTGTTCGTGGTAGTGGTGATGGTAGTAGTAGCAGCAGTAATAGTGGCAACTGTTGTAGTTTCCTTATTGTTCGTGGTAGTGGTGATGGTAGTAGTAGCAGCAGCGACAGCTAATAGTGGCAACTGTTGTTGTTAGTATTGTTCGTGGTAGTGGTGATGCGGTGTGAGTACAACAAGTGCGTTGCTATGTATCGATTTTTAAATCAGTAGTTAGCAGCAGTCGTGGGTTCGGGTTGACCACATTCTCACCAAGTGCCGATTGGTCTATAAAATTTAGGTCTAGCCCTAAATGTCCAGTACGCCTAAAGGTGACTGACTGACTGACTTTCTATCCCACCAGGACATCACACCCGATGACACAATGTGCCACCATGTGGATGAGGATCGCCGTGGAGAGGTCCCAGAAACCGCGTTCAGCCTGTAGGCCATATTTATGACCAGGCTATATTGCGGCCCCTGGCAAGAGCCAGAGTAGGGCTTCAAATAACGAACACTTTTATCCTTAAAAGGACGGGAGGGTCCTGTTATCCAGGCAGCATCCATCATGTACAGCAGCTGTAGTGTCATGTCCCCCTGCAGCCAGGGAGAGAGGGCGTTGCTGGCCGACAACAGGAAGTCGGCCATTGCTTGACGTCTGCCATGTCTTCAAGCTTGGCACCTCCACATCTGATAGCAGACACCTTCAGCTTGGACTTCATCGCTGGCTGCCTTTCTCATCTCATCGCCGCCAGCTTTAATGATTCTTCGGTTACATTAATACATCTTTAATATATGTTGCTAGTACAATAATGCAGGATGTAGCAGTTCTGCGAAAGTGAAAAGATTAAAGACGAAAAGTCAAGTGCACTCGAAATTTGGCAGAATCGATAACAAAAATACGAAAGTAAGTATATTGTTTATAGTTGTATAAAATAAAAATTTAAAAGCAAATAAAAATCGTGATGTTTTAGTAAAATATCGCGTGCAGTAGTTTTCCACAGTTCTCTTGTACCACGATAACATTGTTATAAAAGAAAAGGATACACTGCATTTAGTTTACTGAGCTGCTATAATTATAAAATTTTCTCTCTTTTTTTTTCGACCGCCGTGTTGGTTGAATGTTGTCATCGCCGGTCCGTCCCGTGGCTAATTAATTACCCGGGCACATGTTCTGCTGTATGTCTAATAGAAGTCCAGACAGATTAGTGCACAGTCACTGGTACAAGCGAGTGAGAAACGCAAACTGCATCAAAAGTTTCCACAAAACTTAGCTTAATTACTTTACTTTAAAGGCTTGTTGGAGCATTGGGGGTGGGGGGGGGGGGGATTATTATTTATACAAATGAAACCTGCACAGGTGAATGTCTTGGCTATCCTCCAAATAACAGTCCCAAATTATTGATTACGAAAATAAACCCTAACAGGGCCTCAGTCACATGTCAATTGTGGCCTTCCGCTACCACCAGTGTATCAGTATCTCCCACACGGATTGGGGCTAAAACTAGATGGCTGGGACTCACGAGCAGCAGCTACGGCATCTCCTGCCTGCAGCTTCCTTCATTTTATTTGCTTGTGAGTCCCTGCCATCTAGTTTAGCCCCAATCCACGCAGCGCGTAGCAGCGTGGGAGATACTCTCGGCGGCGGCAGTATAGCAATGCAATGGTACATCATTTATGCCTATCCCCTTATGTCAGTTCTAAGCCGAGATAACAAGGTAAGGTTTCTGTAGAAATAAGGTATACATAAGAAAATATAAACCGGTTAAAACTTGCTTCTCAGAAGCAAGAAATCTTTGACAAGTAGAATTATTTAAAAATGTTTTGGCTTATTGAATAAGGAACAGAAGCCCTAGATATAATATATTTATGGAAATGGGGCAGCATCTAACTAAATAACCATAACATTGTAAGTTATTACCTAGTATTGACTAATTATTATTAAAAAATGGCAGCAGATCACTATATTCATAACTTAATAACTAAGCTTATAGGAAATAATGCAGTGAAAAATCTGTTTGTTTATGTAGCCTGGTAGAACAATCAGTAGGCCATATTGTTGTGTTCAAGGACACATGCTTATGCCGAAGCCAAATTAACTTTCAGAATTGGTGCTAATTAATTTTTAATTCAATTAAAGTTTGTCTGATGAACTTTAAAATACTAGTGTTGTAATATTGTGGAAGCGAACCGTGATGACTGTGTCTGAATAATTGTCGGAGTAAACTGACAGAATGTATAAAGAAAACAGCGAGACGTTTTGTGTTCTTAATCCTAGACAGTAGAAGCAGCACAAGTAGCAATGTGCAAGCGTCAAAGTAGATACGTGAAGTAGCCTTGTCGCAGTTGTACACTCTCTTACTGCTGTTTGTACATCTCTGAATGTTGTCCTTCCTTCTGCATTGTTGTCTACCTCAACCTTTACCTCTAGTATGGTTTTTAAAAGAGTGTTATGTCTTTTAATATGGCCAAAATATTTCACTTGTCTCTTTTTGTGTGTTAATGACTTTCAATAATTCTCTTTTTATTCAGTCTTTCAAGAACCTCAATATTTGATTGTTTTTGTTTCTATGAAATACGACCTATTTTTCTGTGTATCCACATTTCCAGAAGTGGTGGCATAAATGGTGGAACTGGATATAGGAGCCCCGTTAGGCATTACGGTACTTAAGGTAGAGAAATTAGCAAGGTAGTGGAGTCTGGGCACACAAAAACCTGCCACATAATGGTTAGTATGAATGTAATGATAAATGCAGCTTGGTTGGTGTTTGCATGATATGTACTAACATTTGTGACATTTCCCTTCCACAGAGTATAATCAGACAAACCAGAGTCTAGATGCACAAGCAAAAAGAATGTCTAATGTGATTCCAATAGTTTCTTCTTCCCCTCCCCCTTTGGATGATGATGATGGAGACTTCAAATGGGATGATGATGATGACGACGACGAGTATGGGAACTTCACCTGCGCTCCTACTGTGTCAGGCACAACAATTAATAGTGAGTCTAGCGTCGATGTCAACTGGTCAAATTCTAAAACAGCAGCACCACCACATCAAGGGTCAAGTCTTGGACAGGACATCAAGGCACAAGTTTTCAAGGAGGATTTCAATATTTCACAGCCTGACAGAAGCACATCTGAACATATGCCTATAGATAATCAAAGTTCTGTTAAAGGAATGGAAAATCATTTTCCTGATCCTTATAATGATGATGTTGATTTTCAAGATTTTGCTCGTTTTGACAACATAGATTTTTCAGAAGAACCAGCAAAGACATTAGATGAAACAGAAGATAAAAAGCTGGATGTTCCACAAGACTTCAGATCTCCCACAGCTCACACAGAATCTCCACCAGCAGTCAGTGGTCAGGTCGGCAGCACTGCAGGTTTGACACAAGAAGATGAATTTCAAGACTTTGCTCAGTTTAACAACGATGAGGTCACTGCTGAGAGCACCAACACTTTGGCCACCAACCAGCCAGTTTTGACAGACAACTCCCCAGATGCCAGTAAACTAGACAGCCTCAGCACATCTTCGCCATGCAGTACCAGCGATGACATCCATAGTTTGGGTCTAGATCTTGGCTCAGATTTGGGTGCCTCTAGAGTCCAATGTGCAGGCTCAGTTCCACTGAACAACACAGACTCTGTGTACAGCAGTGTTTCAACAGTTGATTCTGGAATTTTTAGTAATGATTTATCTCCGTCTTTACAAACTGGAGAAAGTTCTGATGTTTATCTAAACATTGATAAGGAGGATAGACAAACAAATTCAGGTTCTGTTGAACAAAACAGTGACACATTTCCTTCATCAGAATCTTCTGCTAGCCCTCTCGACAATCCAACTTTACTAGAAGCCTCTGATGGACATGGTAAAGCTACTTCTGCTTTGAGTAACATGATCACTGAAGATGACTTAGACAGTCAGGCAGTGTCTGACTATTCCAATGTTAATTGTGCTGGTGACATGTCCTCACAAAGTGATACTGCGAGCAGCAGTCACGCCCAGGTTGATTTTACTAACTGTGATACTGCTGACAGTATGACTAATGTGAAAAATGCTGAACATTTGATAGAAAATGTCAACCTGTCAGGTAAGGAAGAATTTAAAATCATCGTTGCCCAGTCAGGGGAACAACTAGATCATTCCATCCAACAGAAAGTCCAATCAGTTCATTCCACTTTGTCTACTACATCAGATGCAACAGGAGACTCCGATTCTGATGGTCCCACAGACTTTGTATCTTCTAGTATGAGCTTTAGGTCAGCAGACAATGAGGGTGTCTTGGAATTTCAGACAACTCGAGGGGATATTGTAGAACAGAAAGCTGCTCCATGTTCTGCCGAAGTTGGAGACGACTTTACAGAAAAATTGCAAACATTAAACGCCGATTGTGTTAACACTGATTTTAATATTGAGTGCAATACTAAGAGATCTGAACAGTCTAATATTGTTGGATCTGCTGAATCAGAATGTCTTAGTTTGGCTGTAGATCATGAAAAACCTGGAAATTTAAGCTGTGATATAAAATGTGATGTTGGTGCAAATTCTGAACTAGTTAACGAGGATGCTTCCTCCTGTGGCCTAGATTCTCCAGCTGAAGTTGGATCTGATAAAACATTAGTTAAGTGTCATGAGCTTCAGTCGGAGGTGGGTGGTGAGGGTACTGCTGAAGTTGAAGATACAGAATTTGGAGAGTTTGGAGACTTCAGCACCTTTGGCTGTCAGAAAGTTGAGGACTCCAGCGAAGTGGTTCCAATAACGTTTAGAACAAGTATCTGTGAAACTGAAGAAGGTGATGATGATGATGATTTCACTTTTAATAGAGAGAAGCCGCCAGTGTGTGTTGATGACGATGATGACTTTGGTGAATTTGGAGCTGCAGGTGTCAAGAGTTCAGATGAAAGGACTAGTAATGAGATCGGTGAATGTGACCAAACAGCTCAGGGCGGGCGTTCAAAATCAGATGCAGACACAGATATTAGAGGAAATGATGATGATTTTGGGGACTTTGATCACTCTGAGCCAGTTGATGAGGGTGCTAGTTGGGCAGATTTTGGATCTGCAACCACTCACCCTGCGAGCAGTGACAACTTTGGTTCCTCAACCACTAAACCAGTTGTATCGTCGACATCTAACCAGGTAACTTGTATGGACGTTTGACTGTATATGTGCACATGTTGTTGCTGCTGTCTGAATGTTGTATCTTCTTGTGTTGTATATATGTGCATATGTTGATGCTGGTGTCCACATGTTGTATCTTTTTTGCCACACAGAAGCTATCATCCAAGTGTTGTATCTACTCTACCATATAGAAGCTGGCATCCGTTAGTTTGCTATATGTGTGCACATGTTGTTGCTGCTGTCTGAATGTTGTATCTTCTCTAGTGTTTTATATATGTGCATATGTTGATGCTGGTGTCAGCATGTTGTATCTCTTCTGCCATACAGAAGCTAGCATCCGAGTGTTGTATCTGCTCTACCATACAGAAGCTGGCATCTGTTAGTGTGCTATATGTGTGCACGCACATATAAGCTTACATCTGTAAATGTCCTACATATGTGAGGAGTTTATGTTTTGTGTTAAGCTCTTGACATCGCAAATGATTTCTGCAGATCAAATCCCTTGCAATAAAAAGGATGCTCTGACCTTGACGGTCCAATTTTGTTTTTTGAAATTGACCTCCGCTCTCCCCATGTGGGTTCTGATGGCTCCATTTGTGGGGAAAACAAGAATAGACCCACTGCTTACCCAACAAGCATGTCCTAGGAGGCCAGTAATTGGGGCTCATTTTGAAGTCGGAGTGCATCTGCCTGAGAGGTACGCACCTAACAGTCTGCATACAATTAAATCACATATATAAAATGGATGTGGATGTAACACTCAGGTTCTGGAACAAGACTAAAGTCCAGAGGTGGACAAACCAGCAAACAACTTAATGCCTGAGTTTACAGCCTGTGAATGCGAAGAAGAAGACCCTGGCTCACTTGTCAACGCAGCCTAAAATTAGTACCAAGTTATATCCTGGAAAGTAAAGGTGGCCGACGGGATGTTGACCGGGTCACTGATGAAGTTCTGATAAACCAGTACATATGTCGATCGAGTTAGGGACTGAGAGACATTCCTGGAGGCTGTAATAAGAGAAGTCAAAAAGGATTCCACATGTGCCTAATGAAAATCACACCTGGCCTGTTGCCAGAGAATTGGTGGTGCCCATATATTTAATTGCGTGTGCATTACTCATCTGTTGTACTGCTGCGTCTATTGATGATGATCTGCATTTCTTGTGTCAGACTGTTTGCATTAACACTTCTGATAGCTGCCTTATGCATTTAATGCACATCTTTGCTGTTGGATTTTCCGAAGAGTGCAGTCTATGCCAGATTTCTTCTTCACAAAGGACAGTGATGGGCATTCTGTGTGGCTTTCTTTGACACAGTCATGGAGCAACTATGGGGTGACCCGTTTACTATGACTGGAACTCTGATTACCTGAAGAATGAAGTTCTGCAAAAGACTTGCTTCTTGATGATGAATAAATGGTTATTCTCTTTTGAAGTCTTCACATTTCAGTAACTACAAGCTGTCAGTCTCTTATATTTCCAGAGTCAAGTGCAGAAGTTGCAGAGTGCTGTAATCAGCTGCTTCCTTGGGGGGTCAGAGGCAGACTCCTTTGTCCAGCGGACAGATACAAGTCAGGAAAGTCAGTCTGGAGATGACAGTCAGGGAAGCAATTCTGTGTCAGAAGATGAGAGCCCACTTCCTCTGGACATGGTGGTAGATTTGGGTTTGTCCAAAGCTTTGGAAGCCAAGCAGCAGACCTGGACATTAGTGCAGCACCCTTCTAAGTGAGTGAAGTGCCCTTTGTCTTCCTGTCTTGTGTGTGAGATATTATAAGGGTACGGACATAGCACCATTCTGAGTGCCCTTTGTGTTGTGTGTAGGGCAGTGTATGTGTGTTGTGTCTAGGGCATTGTGTGTGTTGTGTCTAGAGCATTGTATGTGTGTTGTGTATTGTGTCTGGGGCATTATATGTGTGTAGGGCATGTGAACATTTGATGTGCCCTTTGTGTTGTGTGTGAGCAGAGATGTGACACCTTTCTCTGTGAGCATAGTAATGTTGTTTAGTATTATTTATGAGCAGTGATGTGACATCCTTCAGTGCAAGCATCAATTGCAAGGTTTCATATATCGACAGTGATTTGGCATCCTGCTGAAATGTGTCCAGAGGTTGTGGGGGAGTCATTGGTTGGATTCATGTGGGTGATGTGTACAGTTGGAATGTGTGGATTCTAGCTAGATGTCTGTATAGGTGTGGGAAATGGGTTAATATGATGTGGTTTGAATGCAACAAGAAAATTCATAATCTGTTTACATGACCACTGATTACTGTCATCATGAGGGCTAACATATGCAATAGTTGGGGCATGTAGAAAGAATTGTAGAAAGCAGAGAGGCGACAACTGCGTAGAGTTGAACTGGAGTAGACCGAGAAGCCGGTAGGGAAAAATAATACAGGTAAACCTACAAACACTTGGAGTCAACAGCTGGAAAGAGAAAGTCACCCAGAGAGCTGAGTGGAGGCGGGTGATATCTACAAAGCTGGACCTGAAGGGCTGGGAATGCTACAGGAGAAAAAAAAAACAATGTACGACTGGCTTATTTAAGGAATGTTGTGTGACTGTTGGGTAGGGCACATTCATTGAGCTGTGACACTCGTTTGTGGATTAGAAGCTCATAGGCTTGGGCCCTGACAGCCACACCCCCCTCCCCAAATGACCTCGGCTTTCAGGTTGTAAAGTAAAGAACCTTTTTCCACACCTTTAGACCTATTGGCATATAGGGCTAGACCTCTTTTTTAAAGATCAATAGACATTTGGTGGCTGATGTGGGTCAGCACTGTGCTGGTGGCTTCAGGTTGACCCAGCCTTCAATGGATACAAGGTAAACTCCTGGAAAGTAAAGGCAGCTGGTGTGATGCTGACCACATCACCTACCCAATGCTGACTGGTCTATCAAAATTACCTAGCCCTATTTGCCTAATAGACCCAAAAGCAAAAAAAAAAACAAAAAAAAACACAAATTTTTTTTTTTTTTTTTTTTTTTTTTATACTGTTACTATAGCTATGTCAGGTATACACATTTGACTGCAACCGTCCTTGCAAACTGTCACTTTTAATATTATGTGGCTACAGTGTCCCACTCATCTGACTGTTGTTCATTGCCAGGAAGGACCCCAAAGTTCGGCTGTGGGCTCACCTCAAGGACATGGACTCCTCGCATGCTCTGATGTACGGCTGGCACAACTCACACTGTAGCAAGGAGGTGTACAGCTCACTTCATATAGACACCCAGAACATTGTAAGTCATCTCCATTCACTGAAAACAGTATGCTTTTTACTCAGATTGGCAAATTAACCATATTAGACACGTGCGCTTTCTATTTTATTTCTTTTCCATTCAGCCAAGCTTAGACACAGCGGTGTGTTCCCAGTTACTGCTAGTTAATTATGTTTGCAATATTTATGTGTGATGCAACATTCTATAAATAAGATGTCCCACAATTTTACACTTAAAATATTTTGAAGAAATTTAATCTTATACTTTAATAAAAAATAAAGACTATAGAAGCCTCACAGTGAAATCACTGTATTATCTTTATACATTAACATACGCACTAATGCTGCAGAGCCTGTGCACTGTGCTGAGCTTCTTCGGACTCAGACTTGAATTAGAAGAACAACGGAGCACTTATGGGTTACACCCGTGTGTCATGATGTTGATCCGTTGTTCAAACCTCAAAAAACCATACACACTAAAATATCTCAGAACAAGAGGATATCCAATAAAACATTAAGACGAACATTATTTCAAGAGGTTAAAAATGCTGGGCTGAACTCCATGTTGAAAATCGAGAGAGCTGCATGCAGTAGAGCGAAGTGGAGTAATCACATGCGAGCCTTAGGTGATGTCTAACAGCACACCAAAGATGATGATTGTAGACTAACACAATTTATGAAGATGGATGGCCCTGGAACCACAATAGTGTAAAGCTATCCTGCCAACTAACCACAATATGGTGGCTTTCAGGGGATGTATGCTGTTTTTATCCACAGTTGTTTTCACACAAGAAACAGGCCATTCCTTTCTTTGCTTCTGGTTTGGGAATACTAGAACCAATCCGAGGAGGAGGAGGAGGAGGTGTTGGAGTGGTGGAGAGGAAGAAAGAAAAGAGCTCTGCCCCGACAACACCAAATATTCTCTTGGACAGTGGCCGACAGGAATACCGCCACACCCCCACGGTGCAGGTACGTGAGCTTTCTATCTGTGCAACATTTTTAGGTGTTCTGTCTGTGGTACAGGCTGGTGAGAATTCTGTCTGTGGTACAGGCTGGTGAGAATTCTGTCTATGGTACAGGCTGGTGAGAATTTTATCTGTGGTACAGGCTGGTGAGAATTTTATCTGTGGTACAGGCTGGTGAGAATTCTGTCTGTGGTACAGGCTGGTGAGAATTCTATCTGTGGTACAGGCTGGTGAGAATTTTATCTGTGGTACAGGCTGGTGAGAATTTTATCTGTGGTACAGGCTGGTGAGAAATCTATCTGTGGTACAGGCTGGTGAGAAATCTATCTGTTGTACAGGCATGTGACAATTCTGTCTGCGGTACAGGCTGGTGAGAATTCTATCTGTGGTACAGGCTGGTGAGAATTCTATCTGTGGTACAGGCATGTGAAATTCTACCTGTGAAATGTGTGAATTCTGTCTGGGATTCACACTTGTGAGAATTGTGTATTCAGTGCAGGAAAGTAAGGGGCACACAGGAACACATTCCAGTATTGCTCCAACCCACCATGTTTACTATCTCTTCTACCAGTCTGACCTGTGCTAGATTTAGGCATAATCTAAGTGAGCTACAGCTAAGTGCCTCACAATCCACGGGAGCCTCAGACAAGAAACATAGATGCTTCAAGTTGTAACTTACAAGCTTTTAGAGGACTATATAATAAGAAGTATGTCATTTTGCAGACACATTCTTTATTATTTCTTTTAATAGAACTTAAATGACAGTATTTTTCCATTAATATTGTATTGAAACGGTGCATATATTTTACAGTTTTCTGAGATTAGCTGATCTTATTTAAAATTGTAGGGGCCGCAGGACTTTATATACCTTAGAGCCTCATCAGTGCTAGATCCAGCTCTGCATCTGATGAAGCTGGTTGGATAATTGTCATTCCTGTGGATATATCCAGTTCTAATGACTACATAAAGTTGTATAAGAAACTAGTAACGCCATCTGTCATTCGCTGATTTTTAGGGCTTGATTTGTTGTGACATTCCTGTGTAGCGGTGGGGGTCTCAGTCTCTTATCCTGAAATTAAAGGCATACAGGGATAACATTATCATCATCATCTGTGTGTTGCCGGTAGGTTCACATTGGGCAGCATCATGTCCTGATGTTCCACACGGCATAAACCATTGTTTTAATAGTTGCCACTGCCTGCCAATGATTCCACTTCGACACTGCACCAATTCTTCTAATCCACTTTGTTTGACAGGATATTCCACCAGTGGATTTTGACTGGAGTTCCAGCGGTTTAACCAACCCCCTGACAGGTATGTGCTTATCCTTTAAAAAAAAAAAATTCTCTTTGCCATAAAAATGTAACCAGAGTAATCGCTTGAATATCCTGTTTGCTTGGTTGCCTAGGAAGTATATCATATATGGCCATTAAAAAATTGTGTTTTTGTTTGGATAACAGAAATCAGCTAAAAACGCTGGTTGTGTTGCTTCAGATTTGATCTCCTGTTTTTTAATCCTGTTTGGTTGGTTTAAACATTTGGATATTTTGACTCAACAGTGAGAACAAGAGGTTTAAAGAAGACTTTAACTTTATGTACCTTCTTCTTCGACTTATCTTTTACAGGTTGTATGCTCTGGTGAAAACTTCTGGTTGTTCGTCCACCTTTGGACTGTAATCTTGTTACAGAACTTGAATTGTGTGTGCACATCTATTTTACACATATGATAATTTGTGTGCAGACTGTTGGTTCTTTGCCTCTCAGGTTGATATGCTCTGTTTTAGGAGGAAGTGTCCCTAAATAGTTAGGTTTTATGAAATGCTTGATAAGGTGACAGAAAGTCTATTCTTTTTCCCCCCTCCCAAAATGGGGCTCCAGAATCCAGACGGGGAAATTTCAGCTATCATCAGAACTTTCCCTGTGGGTTTCGGGCCACCATTTTGAAAAAATGGAGGGGGGGGGGGGGTTAATTGGACACAGTGCTTCCTAACAAGTATGCCATAAAAGCTGACTGAGTTTGCTGACATTAGATTTTTTCAGCCAGAGGTATCGCAGCCTACCTGTAAACCACAACACAGCATACCAGTTGGCTTTTAAGAGTGAAGATAGAAGAATCCCGTGTGGGTTACGGCCCCGTCGTGGGTAAAACGATAATACACCCACTGCCTCCACAACCGGCATATCATAAGAGTTAACTAATTGGGGGTTTCCTTCGAAGTTGGAGTGAATCTGCCTTTCTGGCAAGGAACCAACAGTCTGCATACACTTAAATCAGATCTGTTAAACGGATGTGCACTCAACACTCAGGTTCTGGAACAAGACTACTATAGTCCAGAGATGGACCACCAAAACTTTCCACTAGAGTTTACCTCAGTGGACGCAAAGAAGAAAAAAGTGGAAACTTTTGTTCTCACTAAAGTGTGTCCTCTGATGGTGCCAACAGAGACCAGATGTCTTTTTATGTCAGCATCTTTAGAATGTAGATTATGTAAGCAGTTCATAATGCTGACATACCTGGTCTGATTCAGCTGTAGATGATTTGGCATCCAACCACTTTATTGTAATTGTAATAGTAAATGTTCATGGAATCTTGCAAAAAGCAATAGCAAACTTCTAAACATAAGATTGCCTGGGGCAGTGCCCTAATATTATTTATACACACGCACAAACCCTTAACCCTCTTTTTATTTCTGTTGTAATATAAATTTACTTTTTTTTTTAAACTAAAAAAAAAAAATGGCTTAAAAATTATTGAGTCCATGGCAGACTTTACAAAATATGCGGGGTCCGTGGGTCTGATCTGGTTGAGAGCCAGTGCTCTAGGAAATCACAAACTGGCAACACATGCTGGCTTTGGTTTCAGGTGTCCAGGAAAGGGTAGTCAGGTTTCGTTGTCATTGATCGAGTCCACACGTATATTTGTCAGTGACTTTAACCCTCATCTTTTTGCTCTTAATCAGCATTTTCCTGATATCCAGGTAAGGGAAGTCAAGTTTAGCTGCCATATCATTCCACGAGTATATTCATCAGTGACTTCCGACTGTGAATTATTTTAGTCCCAAACAACGCAGGGTTTGGTGTCATGATCCTTGTGAGACATAGCCAACCAGTAATGTATTTTTATTGACATCTTACATTTGGTCAAACCATACTCCAGAAATCTGGTTACCAGGTGGCCACTCTGCTGTGTTTAATCTTTGTCTGGGGTCATTAATTGTTGTCCCACTTGGCAATTTGCTGCCAAATCTCCAGGTTCGGGAAGAGTTAACTGTGTTCTTCCTGATGTCGTTGATGTTTGGCTTCATCTTTCCTCTTCTGCTCTTTTTGGTGGACTTTTTGATGGCTTGATCTTTTAAAGGGAGTATAAACCTGACAGAAATATGTGCCGAAGTTAGGACACAGACTGCTGTGAGTTAAAAGGGTTGCGTGCATGTTTAGCTGTTATATATTATCTTTGACAAAAGGAACAAAGAGGGGTTTGAAATTGCAAGGAGCAGACCATGCAGCCAGTGCTGAGGCTTGAAGTTGTTAGGAGTGTTAACTTACCCAAAAGTAGTTAAGATCTTACTTAAAGGTTGTTTAAACATTACCCAAAGGTAGTTTAGATCTTACCCAAAGGTAGTTGAAACATTACCCAAAGGTAGTTAAGATTCAAAGGTAGTTAAAACATTTCCCAAAATTAGTTAAGACCTAATCTAAAGATAGTTCAGACTTATTGCCTTAAGTAGAACTGGTGGCCCTTGGGCCGAATATGGCCCACAGAGACCTAGCAAGGCCCACAGAAGCCTAGCAAGGCCCACAGAGGCCTAGCAAGGCCCACAGAGGCCTAACAAGGCCCACAGAGGCCGAACAAGGCCCACAGAGACCTAGCAAGGCCCACAGAGACCTAGCAAGGCCCACAGAGACCTAGCAAGGCCCACAGAGACCTAGCAAGGCCCACAGAGACCTAGCAAGGCCCACAGAGGCCTAGCAAGGCCCACAGAGGCCTAGCAGGGCCCACAGAGGCCTAGCAAGTGGCCAGCAGATTATTGCCAGTTAGATTTTATTTATGATGTGCTGGGGCTGGGGCCTCCTGATTGTCCTCATTTGGGCCCCTAATAAACATAGTTGGTTAGCCATGTGTTAGAGGGTAGGAGTCCAGCAAGCAGGACATTCTTGGCTGTCATCTGACACTGCCAGCGGCTGTTGTGGCTTGGAGTTTAGTGAAAGCAGGTAACAATTCCATATCCCTCGTGTACCAGGGTTTAATTTCTGCTGATGACGGTTTATTTAAAAAACAAGTTTACAAGATTTCCAGGCAGCCGTACGAGAGTCTAACTGTGGAAGAGGTGTGGCCTCGCAGTGTATTGTTCCCGAGTGGGTACACTATAGGCAACCTTTATTGTGGAGACGACACATTTCTTCCATACACTAGTTCATCTAAAGCCTTGTCGTCCCAGCTGTTTCACTTGATGAATGCTGGATATTTTTTAAACACTTTCCCCATTCCATATCTGGTATTATGGGTGGGGAGAGGCGGTGGATTATTGATTTCTGTAACCGCTGGAGAAAGTTGACTGTGATGTCAGAAGTTCATGGACAAGCAACTGAATTGTTTCAGTGGGCAGTTATAAAATAGTTCCCATCCTCCCTGTGTGTCCAAGAAAGACATGGTGGTGAGGAAGGGAAACAGTCACCCCATCTCATAAATTAGTAATGTGGTATATTTTTGGAATCTGTAGACCTAATCTGTTCATTGACAGCTCACGTTTAGCTGTGATTATTGGATGTTCTTTTTTTGTTGACACATAATTTGGTCTGTTTGAGAATATTAGTTTATGGCCATGTTGGCTACAGAGTGACTTCCCCTGATCCAGTAGTTGCCGTCTCGATGGTCACCGCTTGCTTTGCTTTTTTGCTTTCTGCTTGGCCAGCACAGCTTGTGTCATCTGTTCATGTATATTTGTCATCAAGACACTTTGTGAGAATTTGACACTTTTTATTTGCTCAATCTTCACTTTTGACATATAACAAGTTTTGTATGTCATACATTATGTTTGTGTGTGATCTTGACACATTTGTAATAATGTGATTTTTCCTCAATGTGCAATTTCAATACTTTTGCATTCTGATGAATTTGGGCTGAGTAAGGAGGATTGGCATGGCATTGACTACCTCATGTCATAGAAAGAGCTATAGCTGCACAGTGCATCCAGTCCTTATCAAGTCTAGACATGGCTTGGTGTGAGTTCATTGAGGACTTGTGTTCCTTTGTGCTGTATGAGAAGTAAGGCATTTGTATGAGATAATAAATTATTTCATTATGGGCACAACGAGTTGTTGAATGAATGTATGGAAAAGTAATTGGTGAGTACTATCATCACTACTTTCCGGACAGTGTTTGGAATTGAGCCGTGTCGTTTATCGTTGCGTAAGAACCTAGTGATGGCTAAATCAGCAACCATGACCAGACTGACAAGTCACGCACGGGCTTGGAGGTATGGCCAGACAAGAGCACTACGCAGGATGTCAAAGAAGAATAATAAACCAACACGAAACTGGTGTTCTGAACTACCACACACTGCAGGATTTACTGAGGAATGGAACTGAGCACTTGTAGACTAAATGGTTCGGTGTGCAGTCAGTATAATCCGACAGCTAACTATGTTTTCTTGGGAGATTAAAGGCAAAACAGGAGACTTTGCAAAGCTGCACCCTTTGATCTTCCTGTTTGAAACACCCTGTATGATGTCCTCTGTCAAATTCTGTTAGGGGTGTTTGTAGAACACATTTGATTCTGAGTGATTGAATAAGTTGAAATCAGCCATGAACAGACAACAGTTGAATCAAGATCTCATGTCTGTGTATTTATTTTATATGTGCTTCTATGGCTACATTGAGAACCCGGGGAAATTGTGTGGCCCTCTGTCTAGCCTCATTGTGTACAGCTACATTTCTGGCACATTTCGACTAGTCTGTTCTTCTCTTTACTCCGTCCACCAGCCAACACCCTAGACTTAGATTTTCTTGTCATTCAGGGAGGTGACTCTAGCCAGAAGACATCAGGTGAGTTGTCTGCCCTTGCAATGTTTTTAGTGTTGTTTTAAGAGGAATGTTTTCTTACAGAAGCTAGACTGTGCTATGTGTGTTTATTTATGAATACTTCCAGTGTATGTTCCACTACTGACATTTTCTTTGTTGTGTGTTTTAACAAATAACAGTTGTCTTGACAAATCTCATTCCTTTGTTTTGTGGCTTGAATAACATAAATATGCCTAGCGAATGGTGGAGAGTGAAGAGAACAGGACCAAGCCTGCAGCATAATTAACTAGTTA